TGAGGTCTGACAAAGAGTGAGTTGGGTTTATATAGTAAAAGGTTTTTTTTTTACGTCAGGCTCAGCCGTTTTGGTTAAGGCTTCTGAGTGAATTGGGCTTTATACTGTTTGTCCTTTTTTGCTAAAATTGGTATTTTATTTTGTTTTGCTAAAATTGGTATCTATTGTAAGACTGTTATACACCGTAGTTTTATAATTTTAACTAATGCAATGTTGAAATGCTAACAAGATTTAGAATTATTGTTTATACAATATCTACCTCTATTTTTTAAATGATTTGTTTAGCTAGATAGTTTTTTTTTTTAATTAAATTGGTTGTCAATTTTTTTTTTCTATTAAGAAATTATGAACTAAAATTTGTATATTTTTCAAATCTAAAAAAATATATAAATATAAGCTGTCTATAGGGCTGATGTTTATATTGTTTAGTCTCGTAGGGCCGATGTTTTTCCTCTTTTGAGCACTCTTGGCTTCGGGGACATATCTGTAGTCCGTCGATTTTTGGTTCCGATCTCTTTGTGAGTAATATACAACAAGCATTGAGAATCTATCTTTGTGTTAAGTATGTGAATTATGAGCAGAAGATAAGTTAGTTATTTATTTTTTTAGTGTGTGTGATTGAATAACATTATGACATTAAGCTCATGGTTATACATATATTTCGAGACTGAACTCTGCAAGAAGATTCGAATAGATAGAGACAAAACGTGAATAATTTGCTTGGAGGGTGAAAATATAAATGCTAACAAAATAAACTAACTTATTAATAAAGACGAGATGAAAGTTTAGAAATAAGTGAAATCTCGGCAAGAGTACTTGAGCAACACAAAAAATTACAAGTGAAGAACGTGTGTATAATAGTATTACATGATTATATCTTATCTCTAACAAACAAAAAATGCTGTATTGACTTCCCCATCTTCCTTCAACAAATTTTCTTCAAGCCTTGCAAATTCACAATGATCTTGCAAATAACAATATCAAAATATATCTTACTTTGATCGGTTTCCTTCTTCCGATCTCTTGTCTTTTGTAGTTTCTCTATCACCACAAAAATCATTCTTCTCCATCTTTTGTAGTTTTCATGTAAACAACAAATATCATGACCAAACTTAC